CTCTATTCTGACACAGATCTATAACAATTTCAGGATCTCTAAGTTCAAGAGCCATTCTAATTCTCTGATCAACTTCAGCAGAACACGAATTATCAGCCACACTAGAGTCCCCTGTTAAGTCATGATATAAATACCGCAAAACACCTGGAGTAACTTTAGTAATTAGAGAATACTAAAAATAAAATTATTAATACTTTCTAATACAGTATTTGTATTTAAAATTATCCTTTACACGGTAAAATATTTGTAGAAAAATTTTTCTGAATGCAGATATTCAATAATTTTAATAAAAATCACATATCGCTAACATTAAAGTCTGATATGGATCAAAGAATAACCGGCTAAACCTTGCACAAATCATATGAATTCTATAAGACCCCAAAAGTAATAAGAATAGATAATATTTGCGGAACATTTTCACAGAACGATAAGCAGTTTGGTCTTTATATAACACCAGGTACCCTTATGATTTATATGAGATTTGCCAAAAAAAGTGCATCTATTCACAAAGTTGCATGCAAATTTGTATGTAAATTAGTGTAAGGGATAATAAAATAAAAATTTTAGCTTAGAAAACATATATCTTCTCATATACCGTGTAAAATATTGTGGTAACATTGATTGTGTTTTAATTATCATCTGTGCATTTTTTGTATCATTCCGCAATTCGATATTTTCAGGAATTTTCCAAATAAAATTTAATGTTCCAAGGTAGTTTCCATGATAATATCGATATAACATAATTGCTGAATCGATATTTAGATTAGATAAATAAAAAAAGCACTTTTTTTTAGTTTCAGGTAAAAATTCTTCAAGTGAAATAACCTCATATTTATCAGCTAATTTAATTTGCTCAGAAATTGGAAAATATATGTCTTTAATATCATCTACTAAGCATGATGGTCGTATTTCAAGTACATTATCATCTTCAGGACTTCTAGTGGGAGTAGATGCAGCTTGAATTTTTTGAACATGCTTGTTAACTGCTTCTAAATAATTAGCATATGAACGAGCTACTGAATATAACTCTATAGTCACAGATATAATTTGATCCCAGCTGGGTTTACTTGCCCATGGTACTAAAACACTTTCTTCTAATTTATCAGCATGAAATTCTAATTCTTCATGCTTTAAAATTGCTTTATGATGTGATCCATTTTTATAATATGAGTTTTGTTGATATAATGGTAATTGAAGAAAAATTAATGGTATATTAAGACTGCATTGTTTAAGTGTCTTATGCTTATCATCCAAATAATAAATAAGCGATGCAAGCTTATTAACAAATGATTTACCAACAGAGTTGTGTGTACCATACTCCCAACCAAGATTATTTTTACGTAAAAGCTCTAAAAGGTCATTATACAATCAGTCATTACGATTTGTTGTTGGTTTTAAATCAGGTAAAACCTTTTTAGCTGATGCATTCATCATTTCATTAAAAATATTAGATGAAGAAGAAATTGGACTTGCGGACCGTTCATTTTGAATAGTGAATCTAATATGTGATACATTTTGTTCTTCTCGAGTACACATAACTAGGCTTTCTTCCAAGCCAGATATTACGTGATGCCATGTATTTGTGCCTTTTACCTGAATATCAATTCTAATACTTTCTCCAGGAGTATAATCACTATCCGCCTGATAAAGTAAATGTTCAAAAGTAAAATTTTCATCTACCTCAAATAAAGCAGCCGAAAGAATTGTTTTTCTTTCCTGAATTACAGTTACAAAAGGAAAAATCAATTTTTTTTTTAATATTGAAAAGTGAATTACTTAATACCCTCTACAATGTTGTCTTAATAAATACGTTAATTTTATTTCACGTTGATTAAAAAATGCTACTTATACACATACATGTGAAACATCCCATACTCCTATTAAGCGGGCTTGTTACAAGATTGGTGGCTATCAAAATGCATATAACAATTAATAAAGATGGGAATAATTACCTACTAAATTTGAATAATTAATTAATTACCAACCTTGACCAAGATCATGCTTAAACGATCAATAATTAGGATTTCGTTAGTATAGCTGTTGTGTCTTTATAATGAAAAGCAAGCAATTACTTAAGTCTGTTCTCTCACTCGCCCACCTACCCACCCTCTAAAGAATTCTCAATTTAGAAAATTATGTAATGTATTCTTATAAATGCTACTATTAGCTATATTGATTGACTAATTTGTTAACAAAATCACTACATAGCATAGAAATGTTATTGAACTGTGAGTATGATTTATGAATTAACAAATTAGTTATAGTGAACACTTACAATATTATTGCTATGCTATTACTTGCGTGCTGAAATAATACGCAAATATATACAACATATATGCATCCGTTGTGAGAGAAGTTCTAATGACACACATTACTTAATATCGTTATCACTTGTATGTATGTACGTACGTACGTAGAATCAGGTTTCAACTTAAGA